TGTGAAAAACATTACCATTGAAATCTACCTGATGACTTTATATCCATGCTCAGATGCCAAGGAGCTCAGAAAGTAACCGTGACTAGTAATAATCAGATATATAGAGATTAGAAACGCATCTGCAAACACCTTGGTGTTAATTGTATTAAAAATGAAGTTTTCTTTATGGAACTGCATATTTTAATAACGCCTTGTAGATCTTTTTTAAAGGTTAAAACTTCATTTAATTTTATGTCTTATAGGGTTTATACTGAGTACAATATTGTATAACTGTATTAATTAAAGTGTAAACCTAAAGTTTAACAGCCAATTTTGAAAGACATGCAACTTAGCTCTGGAAATTGTTATTGAATATGTCAATGCTGTTGTAATGAAATGCTTATGTGGTTATTAGGTTCAACAGCAGACCTAAAAATTTTATAACCACTTTTGAATGAGATGTATTTTTGCTCTGGAAACTGTTATAGAGTATGTTAAAGCTGTAATGAAAAAAAAATTTTTTTAAATATTAAAAAAAAGACTTGAAGGCAGAAAACACATCATTATCTCAACAGATACAGAAAAGGTCTTTGACAAAATACAAAATCCTTTTATAGTAAAGGCCCTGAAAAAACTAGAAGGAACATGTTGCAACATAATAAATGTTATATAGGACAAGCCTACAGTCATTATACAAAACAGGAAAAAGCTAAAAGAATTTCCCATGCATCACTCTTACTCAATGTACTGCTTTAAGTCTTAGCCTGAGCTATAACATAAGAAAAAGAAGTAAAGGGGTTGCAAATAGGAAAGGAAGAAATAAAAGCATCTCTATTGTGGATGACCTGGTCCTATACTTAAAGGACACAAAAATTTCAGAAAACTTTGTGCTGGTTAGTTTGAAATGTCACCTTGGCACAACCTAGAGTCACCTGGGAAAAGAGTCTCAGTGAAGTGTTATCTAGATCAGGTTGGCCTGTGGGCATGTCTGTGGGGCCCTGTCTTGACCATTAATTCAGGTAAGAGAACTCAGCCCATTGTGGGTAGCACCATTCCCTAGGAAGGGCACTCCAAATTGTTTGAGAGAGGAAAAGGCTAGCTGGGAGCAAGCAAGGACGCATGCCTCTATTCTCTCTGTGTTCTTGACTGTGGACATGATACCTTAATTTCCTGCCTTGACATCCCTGAAGTGATGGACTGTAACCTGAAATTGTGAGCCAAATAATCCCTTCTTCCCTAAGTTGCTTTTTGACAGGCTATTTCACTACAGCAAGAGAAATGAGGAGGGCAATCTTAGACCTGATAAACACGCCCAGCAAAGTAGTGAATACAAAGCCACCATACAAAACCAGAAGCCTCTCTATGTAGAAATAACAACTTTGCTGAGAAAGAAATCAGGAAAAAAATCCTCTCAATACCTTAAATAACAAGGAGGTGAAGACCTCTTTGGTTTTTTTGTTTGTTTGTTTGTTTTTGTTTTGTTTCATTTTTTGAGATTCCCTGTAGCCTCAGCTGGCCTGGAACTCCCTATATACATCAGGCAGACCTCAATTTTCTGGAGATCCACCTGCCTCTGCCTCCCAAATGCTGGGATCAAAGATTTGCAACACTACACTTGGCAAGATCTCTTTAACAAAAAATTTAAAACAAAAGAAAAATAAAAGTTGAAGTGCTGAGGAACACACTAGAAACTGGAATGACCTCCCATGGTTATAGACTGGCAAAACCAATACTGTTAAAATGACTATGTAACAGAAATAAATCTCCAGATTCCACGCAACCCCCACCCAAATCCAACAACAGTCTTCACAGAACTAGAAACAAGCAATTCCAAAATTCATACAGAAGCACAAAGATTCAAGTGGCCAGAATAATCCTGAGCAGAAGGAACATTGCTGGAAGTTGCACAATATCTGACCTCAAATTATACCCAACCACAGAAACAACAGTGGCATGGCATTGCACAAAAGCAGACACAGACTAGAACAGAGAGCTCAGAAATAAACCCAAAGGCCTACAGACACCTAATTATGATAAAAACACACACTGACAGGACAAAGCCTCCTCAATAAATGTTGTAAGGAAAACTGGACAACTGGATCTGTATCTCTCATCTGTACAAAAGTCCATTCACAATGAATCAAAGATCTTACTGTAAGATGCGAAGATTTGAACATGTTAGACAAAAATATAGGTAAGTTACGACTTCAAGGTGGTGGTGCAGGTAAGGGCTTTTTGAAAAAGGAAAATTCAGTAACACAGAAAACAATTCCAAGATTTGACCAGTGGAGTTATTTGGTATTTAAAAGCTTCTGCACAGCAAAAGAAATCATTGGAATGAAGGGACAACCTAAAAAGTGGGGGGAAACTGCCAACTGTATATCAGAATGGGATTATTTAGAATATATAAAGAACAGAAAAAATCTAATCAATAAATGGGCCAATGAGCTGCAGAAATACAAGTGGCCAATAAATATTTGAAAACGTCAGAGAAATGCAAAATAAAACTGCTTTGAGGGACTGCAGAGATGGCTTCTTTGTTAAAGAGAACTAGCTGCTCATGCAAAGGACCCAGGTTCAATTCCCAGCACCCACAGGGCAGCTAACAACTATCTGTAACTCCAGTTCCAGGAGATCAAATGTCTTCTGGTCTTGGCAGGCATTTAACAACACAGAGGCACTTACATACATGTATGCATACACATGAAATAAAAATAAGTAAATAATTTTAAAAACCAACTGCTAGCCAGGCTTGGTGGCACACACCTTTAATCCCAGCACTCAGGAGGCAGAGGCAGGGGAGACCCTGTCTCAAAAAAGATAAAAAAAAACAAAAACAAAACAAAACAAATAAAACCCAACTGCTTTGAGATTCCAACTCATCCCAGTCAGAATGCCTAACACCGAGAAAGTTAATGCTGGTAAGGATGTGGGTAAGTGAACCTCCTATCCACTGCTGATAGTCCTGTAAGCCAAGTGCACCCACTGTGAAAATCACTATGGAGACTCTTTAGACACCAAACTACCACATGACCCAACTATACCATTCCTGATTATATAGCCATGGGATTTTGAGTGCTAACCACAGAGTTATTACACATCCATGTTTATTCCTGCACCATTTACAATAGTTGGGAAATAAAACCAGCTTAGACCTCAACAGACGAATGGATAAAGAGAACTCGATGCATGTACACCATGAAATTTTATTCAGCCATAATGAAAAATAAATTAGGACACTTGTAGGAAAAGGAATGAAATGGGACATAAAAATGCTAAGTGAAATAAGCCAGACTCCAAAAGACAACTTTTTCTCTCATAGAACTTAGATTCAGAAGTAGTTCCCCCTCTCCTCCCCTCCCCTCTCCTCCCCTCCCTCCCCTCTTCACTCTCTGATGGGGGTATGCAATGGTTAGTGCTATCAACTTGATACAATCACCTCTGGCCATGCCTGTGGGGGATTGTCTATGTTAGGTTAGCCTGTGGGGATCATTGTGATCTGGTTAATCGAGGTGGAAAGGCCTGCCCACTGTGGATGGTACCAATCCCTAGGTTGGATCCTTGGTTACCTTTAAAGGGGAAAGCTAGCTGAGCACCACAAGTCCTTCACTCTGTTTGGTGAATGTGGATGTGGTATGACCAACTGATGTCTTACCTCCAGCTGTGGTGGCTGTAGCCTTGAACTATGAGCGAGCTCTATCCTTACTCCCTTGAGCTGCCTTCATCGGAAAAGCAGAGGTTAATCATATGCTTAGGGCGTGAAACCAGAAAAGGGAGAGGAACTGGGTGACTTGAGCTCTAGTCATTATGTCCAGCAAAACCTGTGACGTGGGTATGTGATAGGTTTCACATATTGGTTTTGTTTCCCAAATAATGCTTCTACAGACAAGTTTTGATCTTGAATTTTTGGCATCTTTCATGTTGCCAGTGTAGATATTCACATTCATAAGCTCAATTTCTTGGTCCCTCCAACAATTTAAAACAAACTTAAAACATTGTTTTCCTATGACTTTGACATGAGCTTTTTCATTCTATGCTTTCAATAAAATACTATTTCTTCATTTGAGAAGTGCCCTTGGCAATTATTATTGGGAAGAGCAATATTAATTAATAAATCTATCCTGAGGCTGATGCTAATAAATCAAGCGCAAAAGGGAAGGGAAAATTCTAGAACTCAGTCCCACATGCCTCCCCAAGTAAACTTCTCCCAGGGCACAGCAGGGCCAAGTTCTGGGAGCTCCATCAGATTTGTTCGTGTCCAGCTGTGATTCTGCATGGGGTCAAAGGACTTTGGGCTAGGCCACGGCATCCGCTGTCCCCCAGGAACCATGGCTGAGCTGAACCTCCATAGTCTCGGCCATGTGTTTGTGCCTAACTAACTGCGGTAATTCACCAATGTCCTCTACGTTCAGTGTCAGAAAACAAGAACGCGCCGGCTCCTTCTGGGCCGGACCCTCCCAGATCAAAGCGACTTCTCAGCCTGGGAAAGCCAGGGCCTGGGCGTCCAGCCGAGGAGCACAAGGACCCCGCGAGGCCAAGGCCGGCCTCCAGGGACGGTGCTGCTTTGCAGGGCTCTCGCCTCCCTCCTGGCTGGGGTTCAGGGACGCCGCGCCCCACCCTGCAGGAAGCCCGCCCGGAGCCGCCGCCCGCCCGCTCTGGGCTGCAAATCCGGCCGGACCGCGGGACAGGGGGACCCTGAGAGCCGAGTGCGGGAGCGTGGGAGAGCGCGCGGAGTCCGGCCGCGGATCATCCGCTGGTGGCGGAGCAAGCTCGGCGCGGTGGCGCCCAGCGGGACCCTGAGAGCCGAGTGCGGGAGCGTGGGAGAGCGCGCGGAGTGCGGGAGCGTGGGAGAGCGCGCGGAGTCGGGCCGCGGATCATCCGCTGGTGGCGGAGCAAGCTCGGCGCGGTGGCGCCCAGCGCGTTTCCAGCTAGGGGGCGGGTGCCGGCACGCTCGGCCGTCCCCGGCGGTGGCAGGCCCAGCAGGGCGCGGGTCCTTCCCGGCCACCACCTCCACCACCGCGGTGCCCTTCTTGGGTCGCAGGCCCCTCCCGCACGCCGAAAGGACTCGGGCCTCTGAGGAGTCCAGACGCCTTCAGGTAACCTCGCAGTCCGGCTGGGGAGGGGGCAGTGGAACAGGCTAGACCTGAGTATCGCTTTCTTCTGAGTAAAATTTGGTTGTTTCTATTTTCTGTTGCGTACAACAAAGATCTGTGCAGTTAGGCTGTGGTGTCCAAGGGACGTCCAGGGGCACCGATGCAGTCCTAAGTTGTGTGGTACTGCCAACTAAACACCCTCCACCTCCCAAACTCCTCCCAAACTGCTGTCCATTGGGAAGCAAGGCGGCTACACTTTAGTTACACTGTGACATTGTTGTCAGTGTCACTAGAGCAGAAGGATGTGCTGATTAGAAACAGGACAGGAAGCTGCCGCCGCGTGTGTAATGTAAGCATATACTTTTGAATGTCCATTCGGAGTTGCGGAGAAGCTCACAGAAGAATAGGAAAATTTAGCAACGTTTCCAGTTGCATCGCACTTGCGAAGAATCATTTGAAGTTCAATTCTAGGTAAACTAAAAGCAAACTTTAAATTGCACAAAATAACACAAAAAAATCCATTTTTTGGAAATGTGAAACTTTGATAAGTTATGAGCATCCAATAAAGTATATAACATTTTTCTAGATAAAAATAGCATTTCCACAAAATGAAATATAATTAAGTAGAGTCCTACTTAAACTGGGTATTTAACTTATTTGAAAGAATGGCCATTTTTCAATTAAAAAGACATGGTTTTCTATTATAAACTAAGGTATTATAAAGAATTTAAAGACAGTGGAATACATTTCAACGAAACTGAAGAGAGAGCTTTAGGATAAAAGTTGGCATTTGATAAGCATACGTTTTAAATCAGAGGGTGAGGAAGAAATAGCATTTAAATTGATCATGCTTAGACCACTTGACATTTATTGGGGTAACATAATAATGAAACTGGAAGCTTCCCTCATGTAAATAAAAAATGTAATCTAAGCAGCTTAGTAATTTAAATCTAACTTTAAACGCAAGAAGAAAACCTGGAAGTTTGTGCACATGGCAGGTGGAAGCACAGACTCATTTAAGAGTATGATTTGTATAAGCATATGCATGCAAACACCAGATACAAAGGACATTATTAACAGAAAAGAAGGTAATTTTGTTAATATACATGGAACTTGAACTGATGACCTTTAAAATCAGTAGCATGGTTGAAGATTCATTTAAACCAAAAAGAATAAATGAAATTGACAAGCACACTAAAGATTTCGGCGACACTGATTATAGAAGGTGCAATTAAAGTAAGAAACCAACTTTTGTTTGTTCTAATTTTGAAAGTCTGGTTGATCACTGTGTTGTTTCTGACATGAGGGAAATATATATGTTTATAAACCTCTGATGGAAACGTGAGTTGGCAGAAAAGTTTTATAAAGGAATAACTATAAATGTTTTCAGCTGGAATTTGGTCTGTAAAGCATGCACAGCAGGGTGTGTATAAGAAAACCTCAAAAAAGAATCTACATCAAAGATGCTCGTGGCAGTCAGTATTCTTTGTAACACAGAAAATATGAACACTTACTGTGCATCCAGAGACTGAACAATGCATAGTCTAAAGCGTTAAAACTTTTGGTAGCTCTAAATGCTCTAACATGGAAATATGCCAGTGAGTACATTAAAATGCAAACGAGCAAAAGAAGGCGGAGCAGTGTATATACATGGTTATATTTTATACACATGCAGTAACATCTTGTGAACAGTTTGGAATAGACAATGAATTATTATATTGCTTTGAATACTCGTGTTCTAGTACATATATCTATATGCATGTTTATAAAGAAACCATGTTATAAGGAATATAATAATATAACATAATATAAAGAAACAGAGCCACAGAGAGTATTTTTCAGAGACTCCCTTTGGATACTCCTTTTCCTCTTTCATGAATATTCATGGTTATGATTTATTATTGGGACAAAGGCACAAAACTTTGAGAAGGTTAATAACTGTTAACTTTATTAAAAGTAAAAAAATATAGGCATGTTCACATTCCTTATCTTTTTTACCAGTGTTGTGCAAAACTTCACTTTTCTAACATCCATTCTTTCAGATGCGGTAGATATGCTATACTGTGAGAAGGAAACCATCTATCCTGAAATATGAGACAATTAAACAATTGGATGAGGAAAATGAAAATTTTTGCAAAACAGTTTTAAGATAAAATAAAATTTTAATGTTCTTCATATAGGCATGACACACACACACACATGAAAACTAACAGTCAGGAAATGAGGAAATGACAGAAGGGCAGTTTCCAGCAGTGGAGATGGAAATGGCCTCCAGACGGAGTCAGGCTGCGCGTTCTCCTCCATTATAAGATATGGGGAAATTTTCTTTTCACACGAGATGGACAATATGAAGAAACTTAAAGCCCACTCTGTTGGCAGCATGTTTTCTGTCCCACTGTGAATTGTTTTGAATTCGTTGAACACCAGCTTAACAGTTTTACAAGGCACAAAAGTTTGCTCCATCACTTTTGCTTTCAGAAACATTGACACACAGGGTTAAGTTATATGTTATTTGTTCTAGCACTGTTTGTGATAGCATGGATTTTGAAACAATTCAAAATTTCACTATTAGACAACCAGTTAAATAAGTTATAATGCAGCCAGCCAAAAAGAATAGTCTGTGAGCTCAAATGCCAACGAGACATTTTAAAAAGTGCTAATGGCAAGATGTGAAAGACTGTCATTTGTACACATACACACACACATTTTCATGTAATGTATATACCTTTCATTATGTGTGTGTGTGTGTATGTGTGTGTGTGTGTGTGTGTGTGTTTGGAAGACAATAAGCCCAATATACAGATGAGAATTGGGGATTAGTGTAGTAGGGGTTTTCTTATATATAAATCTATGTACTGCTTAACTGCCTGAATAATTATTTGCTAATCTATACTAAGGTGCATGATATTCTGTTTGACAAGTTAGAAGATGGCACAGTAAGTCATGATCTGGCAATGTGTCAGTGTCATTTGGCATAGTGACAGTCCCTTAAATATTCTGTATAAACACAAGCTGACGTGGTGGCTCACGCCTTTAGTACCAGCACTCCAAAGGCAGAGGCAGGCAGATCTCTGTGTGTTCAAGGGCAGCCTGGTCTACATAATGAGTTCCAGGCCAGCCGGGACTACAGGAAGACCAAGTCTCAAAAAGGCCAAAAAAAAAAAAAAAAAAAAAAAAAAATTCTGTGTAAACGCAGAGAGAATGATTTTGTTCATACTTTGGACATTGTGTAATGAAAACATTTTCTTTTTGAAAAATAACATGGAAAGAAATAATCATCTTTTTAAAGCGTTTGGATAGATTTCATGTTAATGTATTATCTGTGGATTTGCCTCTTTGTGCTTCCAGTTCAGCTCATTATTATTTGGAATGAAGCTCCATAAAGAACCCACAAAACCATTAACACCTGGCAGAGAAGGAAATTGTCTACTGTCACCTTTTCTTTCGGAGAATTCGTGGTGTGACTAAAATAAGAACCACTGTAGGTTATAAAAGCAGCACAAAAAAAATTAGGTTTTTCAACATATTCATTTACTCATTGAAAAACAACTTCTCAAATTTCTTGTAGGATTGAAATGATGAGATATTTTTTGTGACTACATGTGTGTAGTTCTGGTGAAAGGTCTGGTTTATGTGCTTGACATTATCCCTGCCCTTTTCATCCTGACAGTGAGCCTCTAGCTCCAGGGTCTGTGTTGGGTTGTTTCTCTAATTCCAGCCCAGGCAGCAGAGCTTTTCTTCTATTGTAGAACTGTGGGATAAGGAAGACTTGGTCCTTTAATTAATTTAATTAATCCGCTAATATTTTCCCCTCCACTACCAGTTCCTTAGTCACAAGACACCCGTAAAACTAATCAACACATCACATCACACAAGTCAAGAAGCTGACTTAAAATCTCTGAAGAGAGCTATATGAAGGGTGTGCATGAAGCTTTGTCTGTGGTGAGGGTGGAGGGCAATGTCTGGATTCACTGTGAAAGAGTACTTTGTTAGTGGTGCTTCTGCTGGGGTTTAACAATTCAGATTATAATGCATTTATGAAAAATTTAAAGAGGAAATAGCTGTTTGTATTTTGGCATAGTTTCTCCTTTTTATATTTTAGCAAATTATATTGCAGTGTTATAGATTGTACTGTAAACATTTCATGGCTCTTGCAAGACCACTGTGACTATCTTTTGTGGAATATGAGTTTACCCTGTTCCACTCCTAGGAGCTTTCCCAGCTCTCACACAGTTTTTGCAGTTTACAGTTACTGTTGTTTCTAGGCTGTGTCTCGGAGAATAAGAATGTCACTTGCAGTGAAAATGTTATGGAATATTTTGAATCTCTGTTGGGATTTAACATAGAGGAAAATTATTTAGGTTTAGGAAAGAGCTATCAGAAGACATTAGATGAGTATTGGCTTGGAACTTGTTCGCGCCTCCCCTCCCTTCTTCCTCCGTCCTCCCTCATCTCCCCTTTCCTCCCCTCCCTCCCCTATCTCTTGCTTACTGATTTTCTGTCTGGTCATATTATAAAGCGTCTAAATAACTTCCAAAATTTTTTAGTGACTTCCTCCAGAAACCTCTACTTAGGAGAAGTGTCATATTTTTCCTTTTTAATTTAGATGCCTCATTTTTTTTTATAACCTAATTTTCACAGCAGGAATATCCAGGGTAACATTGACTGGAGAGGAGACAGTGAACAACACCACTGTTGAGTTTCTGTCTTAGAGAAAGTGGGGTTTCTCCCTTACATGGTGCTAGCTGTGGAAGGCCTCATCGAACCTTGGAGTAGATCAAGGGAGATCTGTTCTGTTTCTAGATTAATGAGTATTTTACTTTTTTTTAAGCCAAGAAGGAAATTGGATTCTTCATGATGCTTTTTAATGAAATCTACTGAGATGAAATGAGTTTTTGTTTCTCATTTTAGTACTATGGTACATTGACTGATTTTTTAATTACGATTGTATTATTGTTGAAACAAATCTCACTTGGTCATAGTGTGTAATCTTTTTATGTTAT